GAGAGAGAGAGAGAGAGAGGCCTGAGCAGATGACAACAAATCCAAGATGGGAGCTTTCAACTTGGCAAAGCTTTTCTTGACATCGGCAATCTCCTCCGCCGTCTCGCACGACAACAGTTCATCCTTGCACATATACAGCACGTCAAAGATTTGGAGCTCCTTGAACTGGCTGCAGGGAGGTGCATTCCCCAGGGCAGCGATGCCGGCAACGCTGCTGTTGTCGTCGAGCGAAGCACCGCTGCCGCCCTTGGTTGGCGAAGATGTCGAGGAGAATGATTCGATCAGGTCGCTGAGCTCTGATGCCTTTCCATCGAGGGCGTGGAGGAACTGCAACCTCACCGAAGCGATTTTCTCCTCGCCTTTGTAATGCAGCCGCTCCTCGGAACTCAAGGCTCGGATGTAGTTCAGGTGGGACGTCAGCTCCGAGACACGTTGATCGTACGTCTCCCTCAACTTCTTCTCCTGGGAAACCAAGGATCGTTGTGCAGCGTTGATGTTACGATCCTTGTCGAACCACCTCCTTGGCTTCTCCTTGTCCTTCTCCTCCTCTGCACTCTCCTCATCCTCCGCGGCATTCTTGTCCTTGGCACCATCCTTGTCAGCCTTGGTGTCGCCCGGCTCGTCGACCTCCATCTGCACAGGCATGAGGTTTCGAACATCACCCACCTGTATGTTGGCTGCATCGAAGGCAGCTCCCGCCCCTCCGCTCACCATGAGCTCTGCCATCTCGTCAATTGACTGGGGGAGTGCGGCGGAGCCTCCAACCGAGTCGTGATTGCTCATGACACGCTTGACTGCCTTTTGAATGCCTGCTTCATCCATCTTCTTTTGGGGCTTGTCTTGGAACTCCAAACTCCGCTTCTTGGAAAGGTTGTTGTAGTTGTAGATCATGTCCTCCTTGGTGATGGCAATCTGGAGGGGCTTTTTGGCGGGACCTTTCAAGTCCGAGATCACCGTGCCCTCCTTCACTTGTGCAGACAAAGCATCCCATTTCGCTTGAGCCTCTTCCTCTGTGAAGGCTCCGCCGTCAATGCTCTGGAAGAAAAGCACCGCCTGTCGCTCCCACATGAGCTGCTGATTCTCCGACAGCCGAACGCCGGATTCGGCTTCCACTGTTTCCTTGTACTGCACAAAGGACCACTTGACCTTCCCAGCCTTTCCGCTGGAACACCATGCCTTGTAGGCCGTAGAATAGCTCTCCACCATTTTGCGGCATTTGGCTGGGTCCGCCTTTGTTTCCGCGAACCACTCAAGGGCCGCAGGCCCCTGAGCCTTGGCTTGCTTGTAGATATTGTCGAGGAACCGCTTACAGGTCATGTCAACCTTTTGATTGAGAGCGAATTCGCTCTCTGGTTTTTTCTGACCGCACGCAGCACAAACACGAGTGCCCTTGCTGTTCCCAGCTTTGTGCCGGGCTGTCGTAGGCTTGGCCTTCTTCTTGGGATCCGGGGCCCCATCCTCTGCTATGTTCTCGGCCACAGCAGGATCTTGACCTTCAGATGCCTTCGCACCTGAAGCATCAATGTCCTCCTCAAGCTTTAGCTCCGACAAACCCCAGCTGAGCATGGCAGGAAACGCCTCCTAACAGCACGCCCGCTAGAACCTCAAAAAAAACTGGCAATCACGTGTGGTCTGGCTGCATCCCGCGACACTCAGCTGGGGTGCTCGGACCTGTTACGGAGGTACAGGCCAACATCTTTCTCGTGACAAGTAGTGGAACGGGAACGTTGTAGCATGAGCTAGAGTGTGCAGACATGGTTTTGAGCCTTTGGATCTGCTGTGAGGCCCCGGGACCAGCATCGTTTTCACATCAACAATTAATCGAATCATTGACTTCAAAACAAGCACCCGGAATCACCAGTGTATGGTTTCAAGTCTAGGCTGATCTCTTCCCCAGATGTACTCTCAACTTGAATTGTTACTGGATCAAGCTAGTGACTCTCACATCAAACGACGGACAGACAAAGACACTTCGGCGGCCCCACAAGAAATCACACACCACAACAGCTTGCCACTACCACAGCCTCTTGGCACACGACAAAAGTAGCATCTGCCTCCCTCTCTCCCTCTCTCACTCCCCTCCCTCCCGCCCGCCCAGACAAGACTCGGAGAAGTGGTGATTTTCGCCTTGCTCTCTCTGCTGTGTGTCTGTGTCTGCCCGTCTGCTGAAGAAGCTGAGTTTCTGTACATGGAAATTACAAACGCTGTGACGTGAGTCTTCCGGATGCATGAGCAGATCCTTCTGGAAAACTGAAAACTCTCTCCACTTGTTTGCCTATGTGAATGCTGCCAAAAGAGCAGTCAACAGCACGCTTCCGATAGCAGGCAAAACCATGGAGTTGCCTGCAAAGGTTTGAATTTGGGATCGGGAGACGCCCTGCAGGAACTCATCCGACCAAGCATTCATGTAGGAATACTTGTTGTCTGACGGCAACATGACAGGCAAGCACTGCACTGCTAGAATCTCCAAAGGAAGCAAAGGTCTTCTGGCCTGCATGGACCACAAAAACGACTTTCGTAGCAAGCACGGAATGACCTCGTGAACTCTCGGTCGCTGCACAGCATCTTGCGAAAGATCCACAAAGAGATTCTGCCGCCCAGCAAACCTTTGCGAGTGCTCCACGACTGATTTGTACTTGTCTAGTTGATGTTTTAGCCATGGGCTCAGCACAACCGATGCAGGCAGATGCGAGCCAGCTGTGCTAGGCGGCAAGCCTCGCTTGCCGGCCAACTGGTTGATGTACGCAGCTACTGCCTCTGGATCTGCTCTCAAGAACATGTCACCCGAAGCTACGAGACGTGCTGAGATCAGTTCCTGAAATCGAGTCTCCTCCAAGATCCCGAGGCCTTGGCATCTGTCTTTTCTCAGCAGGATCGTGTAGCGGCGATCCCTGTTGCACGGTATGCCCATGGCTGTCGGACCGAACACATGCGAAGCGAAGTGGTGTGTGTCCTGGAACAAACGCCGCAAAATCTCCACGTCAAAGGTTGGGGTACACTCGTTGATCAGGATGGAGGGGCTGACTTCTCGCATGCTATGAAGCCAGGCAATGCACGGTATGCTCGCGGGGTCCAGCCAACCAAAGCATTTTCCTGACGACGACCACGAGGTGCACGTGTTTCCTGCAACCTCCACATGAAGGTTCGAGGCATCGTCTGCCGGCCAAAGAGGACACTGCTGATGGTGCCTGAAACAGTCACATGTGCTGCTGCGTGTAAAACTCACAGGCTCAAGAAGCTTGAGGGCACGTACCACGAAGCCACGCCCAAACTTCATGATCGCATCCTTTCGCTTGCTGCTGCCACCTGCCTCCTCCTGATTCTGGCACGACATAGCATCATCAAACTTTCGTTTGTACACTGCCTGCATCTGCCGCAGTTCCTCCACTAACGAGTCAGGAAGCTTGGCAAGCAAATCACCAAACAAGTGGCTGCTGCGGCTGCTTTGGCGATGACTGCAAAGCATCTCTCGACAACGTGGGTTTATGTCTGTCGCAGCATGAAATACATAGTGCAGCTGACCTCCTTGAGCTTCCAAAGCATCTTTCAGAAAACCCAGGGATGTCTCGGCCACACCTATCCCACTGTAGGATGTAGTGATCTGAGGAGACATCTTGGACATGCCATCTAGCACTGCTACAGTGTTAACACCCTGCCCCGATAGCATTGCAAGGCAAGATCGCAACAACTTGTGGGCCCAATGCATGACGTCTTCAAAACTGCTAGGCCCCTGATCTGAATCTGCATCTACATCACTTCCACGCAGACGCTCCGGTGTGGCAGGCGTGTTCTCGAACCTGCAACCAGAACGCCATGTCTGACTGACAGAGCTGAACTGTGAATCCTCTTGCAGCAGTTGCCTGGGCCGCTTTCGTCTGGATGGACTCACCACGCACAGCCCATCCACATCAGAGCTCAGTGAGCTCAGGCCAAAGTCGGAAGCCATGTCCACACTAGCACTCGCACCCTTTATCATGGGAAACTTCTGCACCTCGTACCCAGCGCCTACAAGACGACTCCAGTCTTTCTCCAGCATGTACACATGGAAGACACGAAACCAAGTCACACGAGTCACACGATTGCTTCTCAAAGCGATGCATGTGCCACATGTGCGAAACAAGATAGCACCCTACTATACAAGACTTACACAGTCCCTCCTACACATGTCCTGTACATTCTATGTCATGATACATGCCATCGACTCCGCATGCTTGCTGCTGGGCTGAGGCACAAGTGTTGACTGCAGGCAAGTAGAAAGCTCTTCAAGGCAAGGCCCCCCTTATTCGGGCGCACCACCAAGCAAGAGGCACCACCAAAAAACCGGCAAAAACTCTCCGTCGAAAACCTGGCTTCACGCAGATGTTCTTGTTCTATCCAAAAGGCAACTCAGACGCTTAAATGGGCAGGATGCAAGTATCTACGAGCACGCGGCAAAGCCTGGCATTCCTCAGAAACAGCTTTCTCCGCTTGGTTTCCACGACAAACCACCGCAAACGCCCTGAATTGAGCAACTGCCCCACCCCAAGCAGTCAGCAAAGGTAGCAACGAAAAATAGTGGGCAAGGGGCACCGGGGCAGGGCAAGGCAGGGGTCGAGCAAGGGTCGAGCAAGGGTCGAGCAGGTCGAGCGGCCCAGACCCCTGGGTCGAGCAACGGTCGAGCAACGGTCGAGCAGGTCCAGCAGGGTCGAGCAAGGCTCGAGCAGGTCGAGCGCCCAGCCACAGAGCCCTCCCAAGGCTACCAGGACTCCTTGGTCACAACCCAAGCCCCACCCCAGCCCCGCACCAACCAAGCCCGTAAGCAAAGGCATCCCAAAATGTCAGAATCCGGCAGCAAGCGGTGACACAGGCACAGAACTAAGCAAAACGTTGCAAAGCAGCCCAAACCCTGCCGGTTGTCGCAGGCTGGGGTTGCACCTCTGGTTGGCCACACAAAAGGGCTAAGTACCTAGACACCCAAGCCACAACATGGCCTCGATGACTTTGGGGGCTCACTTCTGTCCGTTGCTGACACTCGGATGTTGGATGAACAGCTTTCGCATGTTGAGTCGTTTGATATTAAGTTAAAAGCATCAAGAGACCGCCTCTCGCTCTATCAGTGAGACGGGAAGCTGGCCACGGCTTCTCGGATTGGTTTAAGCTTAGAATCCTATAGGGTTTAGGGGTTTAGGGGTTTAGGGTTTAGGTGTTAGGAGGGCAAAATGCAAAAGGCATGAAAGGTGCATTTCAGGCCAAACCCTTTCCGGGGGCGAAGGTACCTGGGGACCCTGGAAGGGTTATGGCTATGGGCATGTGTTTGGGGCTTTTGTAAACCAGAAGCCACGAACCCCAATACAAACGTGTCTACAAACTCGAGCCCTCAACCCTAAACCCAGGCAACCTCTCACCCCCACATGCGAAAGCATAGCTGCTTCATGTTTGCACAACGAAAGCCTACACTGGGATCTGAGGGCCTGTAGTAGAGTAGTAGTCGTTACGGCAGTCACTGTTATGGGCACCTGCGAGCACGGAGGAGGCCTCAAGGACTCGTGCGGATGTTGGAAATTTGCACCACTTAGGATCCCGAATATATTCTTATTCCTGGACTGTATCATAACTAACCGAAAAACTTATAACCTCTTACATAAAGGAAGTGGTTTATATGTGGGGCAATACAACCAGGAAGCTTACAAGTCCAGGCCAATTTATCAAGTTTAAAGCGGTGCAACATTTCTTCCATCCAACATAACATACATCTGAGGTCAAACGATTTTGAGCCTGACTGACAAACGAGCTTTCTCAGCTGCTGCTGCTGCTGCTACTACTACTGCTGCCACGCGAGCTACTGTTGCTCGAACGGCTTGATCTGGACTCGGAACCCGAGCCTGAGCCGCCTGAGCCTGAGCAGTCTGAGTCGTCGGAACAAGATGCACTCGCATCTTCAGGTGCAGCAACTACATCAGCAGCAGGGGCTCTTGCTGCCTTAGCTTTTGCTTCCGGGGCAGTCTTACGTCTTTTGCGAGTGGCAACAGCAGGCGGGGGCGCAGACGCATCATCGGCCTCTGCAGCTGCATGGCTTCGCGACAAAGGACCCTCAGCTTCACCTCGGGAATCCAAAACATCGTCTGGAGTTGCTGGCTCATCTGGCCCTTCGTCTATTCGCTGTGACTCCAGCACCTCCATTGGAAGGTCTGCAGCTGCCTCACGAGGCAGCAGATTCATGCCAACATGATGTCGCTGCCGATTGACTGTCTTGGCCTGGGAGCACCAATGCAACATAATTTTGTAGTCTAGTTCCTTCGAAGCCTGATCATCGCTCCTGTGAGTGAGTCGTTTCTTGCATTCGGTTTTTGCAGATCGCTTGTGGAAGGGGCAGGATGCCTCGAGAGCACCAAAAGGTCTACCCTGCTCTTTTGGAACAAGCATGGAAATTCTGAAACACCCCCAAAATTTAATTACTCCAGGCTGCACAACATGTTGCACAGGAGCTCGGCGAGATCTCCTTGCACTGCCCTCCGCAGGTGGTGACGGCGGCGCCTCAGCCGCACCGGCACCTTCAAGCAATGGTGCCCTGTCAGATGAGCTGGCAG